ATGCACAGGCTTCTCTGGAAGTAGAGGGAATCAGCCGTGCTTCTGACAGACTGATGGAGCCGAGCATGGCCACAGACTCACCGGATTTATCCACAAGGAGGCCACCATGACCTTGTGGGGAGCGGCTTCAGGGGCAGGGGGTGGAGAAAGCAGCTGGAAAGGAGAGGGTCCAGGGCGTGTAGACACTGCTAAGAAGTTTGACTGTGAAGAGATGAAAGAGGGTGGTGGTGGGAAAGGGGGCGTGAAGTTCAGGCAGGGCTCTGTTCACGTTAAGCCTTTTTTAAGGGATAGAGCTGGCTTGAGGGCTGATGGGGAGGGGCAGTGTGGAGGGGGGATTTAAAAATGTAAGAGAAGAGAGCTGGGTGTAGCCATCCCTGTGGAAACAGGAGGAAGGACTGGCTTGGGCAGGAGGGTCAGTGCTCCTTTCACTGTGGCGGGAGGACGGAGGACCGAGTGGCTGCAGTTACATGCAGATTAGTGGCTTGGTAGCTGGACATGAAGTCACACCTGCCTGATGCACACCTCTCTGTGCAGCAGGAGGTGCTCAGCAGATGGGGGTGTGTGTGTGGAGACAATGACCAGTTGGATCCATCCATGGCTGGGGGTTTTGGCCAGGTGTGTGGGACAGGAGGGCAAGGAACAAGGGAACTGAGGGTACTGGCAAGAGAATGGCTGCCTCGCAGAGGCTGGGGGTCAGGCTGGGAAGGGAAGAGGGTGCAGACAGGAGGGGTTGGTCTCCTGGGGGGGGATGTTGGAGAGTGGGCACAGTGGTGGCGAGTAACCAGGAGGAGAGGTGTGGTCAGGAGGGAGAATCAGAGTGAGCCGAGCTGGGAGTCCTGGGGCCAGGGTGTGGCCATGGGAGGCGGGCACTGGGCCCCTGTTCAGAAGCTGAATTGAAGTGGGGCCTGGGTCAGAGAGAGGCCTGAGGGGGGTTGAGGATACCATGGGTGGATGACAGAGGGAGGTGGGGAAAGGGGTCCAGAGGGCAGAGAGAGCAGTGTGCTGGGCTGGCTGTCCAAGCGTGGAGGGCAGGCCCAGAGGCAGTGCTCGGCAGTCATCTTGCTTGACTCCTGGGGCCCTGGGCCATGAAGCGGGAGCCCCTTCTCTCCACACATTGTCCTCAGGCAGAGCCAGGGGTCAGCGACTGGGGTGACTGGCCATTCAGTGAGGACGCTGTGGCCCTCACGAGGGGTACCCTGGGTCCTGGGGTAGAGGAGATCTGCCCCCTCTAGAGGACATGGGCCGCAGTCAGGTGTGCTGAGCGGGACCCTAGGAGAGGCCCTGGGAAAGGCCAGAGAGATCCGAAGTCCCTCCAGTCCACACCAGGCCCCCCAGGAGCACCTCCTAGTGGGTGACCCGCTGGCTCTGGACCCCCGGGGCACCTCCCCCTCAGGCCTGCAGTTGCCTGACCCTCCCAGAGCCCCCAGCTCTAATCTACCTGTTCCAGGCTGGTCGTGGTTGGCGGGTCTGCCCTGGCCTCCCCTGACTCTCCCACGTGTTCTGCAGGATGACGGACCGCTGGAGCCTTTCTGCAGCACGTGCCTGAGCCTTGTGCGTCCCCACTCTGCCTCGCTCACAGACACACCCAGCGCAGCCGGGCCCCCACTCCGCACACAGGTTGGACCCAGTCTCCCACACCCACCCCTTCCTGCAGCTCATCCACAGCCAGACACATGCAGACACCACACCCACACACACCACACAGCCGCACATCATCCTCCAATGTCCCACTCTCGCCCCACACCAAACACCGCCATCACTCCCTGAGTCCTGCAGACTCGATGAAGGGTCTGACCTGCCCCGGCACTCATGGGTGCCTGTTCCCTGCCCCGTGGACACACGTACATACACACACATACACGAGTCACATGCAAACAGCCCTCCTTGGCCTATGCCGCCGAGAGCTCTTGGCCCAGCCAGAAATGGCCAGAGCAGCTTGCTGTCTGACTGTCTGCCCGTCCGTCTGTCCCTTGCGGAAGACACAGAGTTACCTCCATCCTCTCTGCGGCCAGGTGCCTGCATCCTCTGGAATTCACAAAAGCTGGCTTTTGTTCCTTTCCCTCCATCTGGGGACAGGAACCTTCAGGACTGCTGCCCTGGCCCGCCCACCCGGCTCCCCACCACTGGGGCCGTCACTCCCCGCCAGGCCCTGGCCGGCTGCAGGCGCGTCTTTGATGGACCAGCCCCCCTGAGGCCAGAGGGAAGGTCAGGGGCCGCTAGGGCCCTTGGGCTGGAACTAGGCGGAGGCCACGGGGCTGGGCACAGCAAGAGCGAAGGGCCCAGCTCCACCGATGAGAGAACTTTTTTATTCTTTGGGCCTGAGGGGAGTTCTGGGTGCCTTTGGTTTTTTTTATTCTTTTTTAAGGAAAAAAAAAATGATAAAAACTTCAAAGCAGATTTTTCTTGTTACAGAAAAACTAATATAAAAGCATTACCCCAGTCTGGCAGCCTGTGGCCGTGTCTCTGTGTGCTTCCTGCCAGGTGCTGGGCTCATGCCTGGCCGGGTGGGCAGGATCCAAGCACCTCAGCACCTCTGGACCAGCAGGAGTCAGTGCAGAGTTCAGTTCTCAGGGCCCACAAAGCAATCACACAGGCAGAGGTCCAGGGACGCGGGGCTTAGTGGCAGGTAAGGCGGCCTGGAGGCAGGTGCAGCCCCTCAGCGGGGTGGAGGTCAACAGGTTGGGACCACCACACTCGGCCATGAGCTCACTCTGCACTCCCAGGGTCTGAGCATCCAAGAAAAGGGCTTGCCGGCTTCAGGCTGCGCAGGGCTCCTGTGCACTGAGTGGGCATTCCTGATGGCTCTGTCCCATAGAGGATGCTGGAGTGGGAAAGGGGCTGGAGGCAGGCCTGGGAGCTGGGGCTCTGGTCTCTGCAGACCTGCCCAGGGAAGAGGTTGCAGACATGCCCAGTGCACCACCACCGCCAGCAGGGCCAGAGCTGGATCAGAAGGCAGTACCCGGCTTAGAGCAAAGAAGAACCGCTGACGGGCAGAGCTGCCCCACAGTGGATGAGATGCCCAGCAAGTAGTGGCCCCTCACTACTGCAGGTGTGTAAGCATGCTCCTGTCAAGCCCAGTAAAGAGCAGGTTCCTGCCTCGTGTGGAGCGGATACCATTGCTCGAAGGGCCTTAGAGATGTGACACAGGGAGGGGGCCAATAAGCCAGGCCACACCATGTGGGGAGTTAGGATAACTTGACATCTGACCTCTCCTAGGTGATTGGGCCTTAAGGAAGGAAAGACGCTCCCATGGTGGATACTACAGCCCTCAGCCCTGCAGTGGGAGGGGGAGCCGGGGGCCCTTCCTGGGCTCCTCAGACTATGGCCCTGGGAGGAGGATGGAAGTAGTTCAGGAGTGGGGGCTGGGAGGCAGGTACCCTCCTGGAAGGGCCCTCCCCTCTCCCAGCTTCAGTGTCTCCAGGGCTCCACAGTGCAAGACCCTGGGGCTGCATCTTCTCCCCAGAGTACATCCAGAGCAGGCCGTGTGGCCAGGGCTCTTCTGTGTCCCCTGCGAGCCTCCTGGAGGCACCGTGGGGCTGAGGAGAACGACGGAGGGAGAGTCCGGAAACTTCTTGGGCACATCCCCTTCTTAAAGCAAAGCATTCACTGAAAGGAGCCAGGCTGGCTGAGGAAATGTGTTTCTTTTGTGAGGGCCGACCTCAGGGCCCTGCCTGCAGAGCAGAGCCCAGGCTGCGGGCAGAGTGGTCTGTCCACACTGTGGCTGTCCAGACAGGCCCCTGGGCAGCCTGGTTTGCACTCTACCTCCTGCATGTGACGGCTCAGGCAGGCCTGTCCCCAGTCCAGCCACCAGGATGGGCTCATTTGCACGCTGGCGGCCCAGGCAGGCCTGTCCACACGCTGGCGGCCCAGGCAGAGCTGTCTACACTTCAGCTACACGGACAAGGCTGTTGACATTCTAGCTTCCTGGACAGCCCTGTCTGTCCTCTGGCTGCCCAGACAGGCCAGTCTGCTCTTTGACTGCCTGTATTAACCCAATAAAGAAATGCTGGCCAGAGTATGGTCGCTAGGCCCACAAGGTTGAAAAAGAAAATACCTTTATTTAGTCATCACTGAATTTGCAAACACCGAAGGGAATAGAAAACCTAACTCCACTTCATCACACGGGCTTTGGGGGAGTGCTGACCCCAGGGCCACATGGGTAGCTTGACTAAAGTATCCCAGGTGAGTCTGCCTCCCCAGTCCCGGCCAGCCCACCTGTTCAGTGGGAGGCTAGCCCTGGTGTTTTTAAGGGCCCTGGGGCTCTGATGAAGACATCCTCGTCTCCACATTGGGTGAGCTTTGTGAGAGATGACTGGTAGGACAGGAGACAGGATGGGCCCCCATACACACAGGTCACGTGGCACACGGAAGGCAGCAGTCTTGGCCTTAGGCTGGGCCCATCCTTGGGGAGAGCAGTTTGTTTGAGACCACGTGTTACGGGGCAGGGTGGGGGCTGGCCTGGGCTGGGACACAGCTGGGGCAGAACCAGGACATTGCTATGTCTTCATAAATTGAAAGCAGTGGTGGCTTTGGGGCTCCTGGGAAGGGGTGGAGCCTCTCTCTTGGCATCTGGCCTTGCAGGCAACCCTATCCTCCGGGAGGGAGGGGCCGAGGCTTGAAAGCCTTGAACTAGAGTCCTGGCCCTGACATTATTTGCTCTGAGACCTGGGGCAACTGTTTTCAGCTCTCAGAGCCTCAACTCTGTGTTCCAGAAAGTGGGGACCGTACCCCTGCCTGCCGCCCTCACAGGTCAACACGATGGAAATGTTACAGGCGGGGCTTGGGCTACGCCTGCCTGTAACTCTCCAGCCGGGGCTCCCACATGCAGTCTTTCCCCTTTCTGAAACTCCACTTTCCGTCCAGTGGATCTCATTCCGGACTCTCAAGGTGGGGGGAAGGTAGTGTGAGCCTGGTCCTGTGCTCAGGAAGGTCGTGAGTTGAGATTCTGCCCTTGGACCCTGATCACGGAGGCCTCCCCCAGCCCCTACAGCTCCGCAGGCTCAGACGTTGGTCTCAAGCTCACTGATCTCAATGGTGCAGTGGTCCAGGCTGGCGGCAGCCGGCTCCTCATCCTGCTCTACCTGGATGGGGACGTGGTGGGGACAGGTGGGGCCCAGGGTCAGCTCTGAGGCCTCAGCCACGCTCTTCACACAGCCGTTCTGCTGGGTCGCCACGATCTCCTGGAGGCTCACTGGGCTGGTCTCGCAGGGCGGCAGTTTCTGGTGAGGGGAAACAGGTCTTGGCAGCAGCAGGCAAGACTGGGGTTAGGCAGTAGGGAGGACTGAAGGAGCAAAGGGCTGGGAACAACCCGACTGGGTTTCCTACAGACGTGCTGGGGGATCTTGATAGGTCACAGGGACTCTCTGGGTTCCAGTTCCTGCCTTCTCCTGGGACTGTCTTAGTAGAGGAGGGCACCTGGCCCACGGGGTCCAGTGCGGGAATGGGCGGCTCCCCTGCCTGGCCTCAGCGTCCTCCCCATGGAGTGGGGCAGCCTGCTACACGTGGTTACTGAAGGAGCCCCAGCAGACGTGTGAACGCTGGCATTGCTGTGGGCACTGCCCCCTGAGGGCACTGACTGTGTTCACCACTGCTGCTCCTGTGTCTGGATCAGTGCTGGCCACAGTGGGTGCTCAGCAATTTGCTGTTAGAGGAATCTGTCACCCGGGTGCCCACAATGAGAACAAGGCATGGAGGAATCAGGTGAGGGCTGCCCAGCTGGGTGGCCGATGTGCTGCCTTGCCCACCCCACCTGGCTCCACCCCCGGTCTTTGGGCAGCCCGGCTGGGAGGGAGGCACCATTCTCACCTCAGTGCCCGTGTCCTGAGTGAAGTCCTTCCGGCAGACATGAGCCATGATCCCGGCGGCCAGTGCATCACCCAGCACGTTAATCATGGTGCGGAAACGGTCCCTGGTGGGCCAAGGTGGGCAGTGAGCGGCAGGCCCTCTGCTGTAAGGGGAGCTGGAAGAGGACAGTGCTCACCCCAGCAGCACCCACAGGATGGGCGCCTTCCTGGTCCTCCCAGGCCCCCCCCCCGGTGATGCTGAAGTGGGTGATGCAGGGCCGGCTTTGTAGGCATGTGACTGTGCAGTGGCTCAGGGTCAGTGTGTAGAAGGGCCCGGACTCGGGCTAATGCTCTGCTCCCACCCTCTTGAAATTCTTTATAATTTTCGAACAAGGGATCCCACATTTTCATTTTTGAAAACTGGGCCCCGCAAATAATGCAGCTGGGCCGGTGTCAGCGAGTACCCACTGTGCCAAACCACGGCAGTTCCCCAGCCCACCCAGAGTGCCTACCACCCAAGGCATAGGGGTGGGTGGGGCGAACCCCACTCACAGAGCCCAGTCGACAGCGATGATGAGGGTGATGTCATCAGTGGGAAGTCCCACGGAGGTGAGCACGATGACCATGGTGACGAGCCCGGCCTGGGGGATGCCAGCTGCCCCGATGCTGGCTGCGGTGGCTGTGATGCTGCAGGAGGGGCAGGGAGCATTGCTGGGCCCTGGACCCAAGGAGGAGGCCAAAATCCCCGGGCCTCTGGGAACAGCACGTGGAGCAGGAATTGTTAGGAATGCCACATCAGGGAGTTCCCTGGGTGGGAGGCATGTCTCTGCTTAAGGTCCTGTGGTCCCAGAGGCCCCCATCCCTGGCCTCAGCAGAACCTCCTGAGAAGTTTGTGGAAAACCCTATGTCTGGAGCCACTGTCTCTGTAGGTTTCCAGCAAGCTGCCAACAGATTCTGATTGTCCACTGGCACAGCTCTGCCCAGCCTCCCTCTAGGACTGGGTCCCCAGGGTCAGACTTGTGCCCTCGGGGTGGCATGTGAGGCTTTCCCCTTGGCCTCTGCCCCTCACCCTAGCACCCTTCCCTCAGCTCTAGCCACACCAGCAACTCTTCCACCATCCCTCAATCCTGCCCCTGGCCTCTGCTTACCCTGTGCCTGCCTGCATCACCCTCCCCTGCTCTGCATGTCCAGACTGCAGGCCCTCCTCTGGCCCCAAGCTTCCCAGCCTGCTCAGAGCTCCCCTCTGCAGGGCAGCGCTGGGGAAGGAGCCTGGTGCCCCGAGTCACGAGGCCAGGTCACGTTTCAGCCCCAGCACTGGCTTGCTGTGTGGCCTGGAATAAGCCCCTTGCCCTCTCTGGGCCTCAGAGACTCCATGAGATCTGGGAGCTCAAGACTCCTGAAGGCTGTTCCAGAGTACCCCCCGCCCCAATCCACACTGGGTGCAGGGTGTCGGGGGTGCACCTGATGGTGATGATCTGGCCGAAGTCCAGATCATAGTTGTTGACCTGGGCAATGAAGATGGCGGCCACAGCCTCGTAGAGTGCGGTGCCGTCCATGTTTATGGTGGCGCCCACGGGCAGCACGAAACGGGCAATGCGCCGGTCGATGTGGTTGTTCTCCAGCAGGCACTTGAAGGTGATTGGCAGTGTGGCTGAGCTGTGGGCAGAGGGGCCAGCGTCTGCTCATCACTCTCCTCCAGGATGGGCAGGGCCCCCAGGTTGTCCGCTGACAAGTGACAGAAGCTCTCCCCGCCCCCCCTCCCCCGCCAGGCAGTTGGCCCATCTGGGGTAGGGGGAGAACAGGCTGAAGGGGCTTTGAAAATGGTCACATGGCCAGACTTGCCCAGGCCCAGGGCCTCAGAGACCCCCATACACACGGGTCAGGAAGGGAGTTACCACCAGCCGAGCTCCTACTATGCGCCGGGCACTGTGCTTTATACATCCTCATGGCTTCCTGGGAGGGAGGGGTTTTAAGTCCCTTTTACAGGTGAAAAAACTGAAGCCCAGAGGGGAGGAGGGGCTGACCCTGTGTCGCACGACTGTGCCAAGTGCGGATGAAGAGGTCAGTCAAAAGCAGGGCTCTGGCGGGACCGCTGGCTTCAGATTCCGGCCTCCCACTAGCCCAGTGGCCCGGGCACCTCCTTAACCTGCGTATGCCGTAGTTTCCTTGTCCCAAGCAGTCCATACATTACGGAGCTATTAGGATTAACGAGTGGGTCCTCAGGACAGCGTCTGCATACTGTAGGCGCTCAACCAGTGGTAGCCACTGCTCACGTTGCAGCTGTGTTGTTACTGAGCTCCCAGTGGCGGTGTTGGGACTGAAACTCGGGTTAGCGTGGCCCCAGAGCCCTTCCTCTACCACAGACCATTGCCTGGGAAGCCCACTGGCACCTGCCAGAGCCCCTCATGGGCCCCAGGCATGCTGGGCCCGAGGCCGTTGTTCCTGCCAACAGGAAATGGCAAGGGCTGCCGGCTCTGTCACGGGGGCCAGCAGCTGCTTGGGGCTTCGTCTTTCCCTCTCACCTCCTCCCTCGGCCCTGGGTGAGGGTTCCTGGACAAGGCTTCTAGGGCTTCTCCTCACTGGGCTTCTGCTCCTCCTGAGTCCTGTATGAAGTGCTTCTGCTGCCAAGGGCGGGCCATGTGGCTGCCAGGGAAGGAGGTCTGTGGTGGCCCTCATTCCCATTTTCCAGATTGGGAAGCTGAGGCCCAGGGAAGAGAAGGCAGTAAGGGATGCAGGGAAGAGCCAGGCCTTTGGTGCCAGAGACATGGGCTCAAGTTCGGGTGACTTCTTCCATGTGGAGCTTGGACATTTGCTGTGGGGAGAACCACCCTTTCTTCACAGGGTTAGATGCCCAGTATGTGACCACCTCCTTTCCCCTACCCCACCCCTTGCTCAATAGCCAAGTTTGCATGACACTACCTCCCTGGGTCTCCTGCACTCGCTTTGGTCTGGGATCTTTGAGGGCAGGTGCTGCTTCATCAAGCCCAGACCAGCCTTAGTGGGTTATCTCCATTAATCCCCCAGTAACCCTATGTGGCAGAGGCTACAATGATTCTCAGTCTGTATCCGAGGAAACTAACGGGGAGGTCACCAGGGAGGTCAGGTGACTGGCCCACAGCCACACAGCTAGTGGGTGATGGAACCACGAGGCAAGTTCCCACTGTCTGGAGACACCGCCAAGGTTGTGACAGGGCAACTTGCCAGGCTGTCCCAGTGACGGTAGACAGGCAAGGTCCCTAAACAGCACAGGGCCTGACTTCCACAGAAGCACCACGTGGCAGCGCAAGGCAAGAGCGATAGCGACTGCAGACTCAGCACTCTCCAGCTCCCCCTGCCGCCGTTGCGTGGAAGCCGAGCCCCGTGTGGACTGAGTGAACCCGGGGTATGTGGGCAGGTGGGGGAGGGTTTTCTGCCGTTTGGGCAGGTAGTGCCTCAAGCGTTACATTTTAAGAATACGTCTTGTTACCGGAGCGTCTCCCAAGTTTGTGAAGCAGGTCATGCTGACACTTTCCGTGGTTCTATGGCTATGGACAAATGATGGCTGGACAGAAGGACAGCATTCAGCCATGGTCTCCTCCCCCATCCTGCCCGCTGCCCAGGGCTACCTGGAGGAGGTGGCCAGCGCGATGAGCAGGGCCTGGAGAATGCCGCGGATGAAGACGATGGGGTTCTTTTTGGTGATGAAGAAGTAAAGCAGGGGCAGGATGAAGAGGCCGTGCACCACCAGCCCGCACACCACGGTGACAGCGTAGAAGCCCAGCTTCTTTCCCACGGTCGTGGGGTTGTCCATCTCCAGGATCTTGCCAGCGATGAGGAACACGATGCCAAAGGGGAAGTACCTGGGGTGGGCGGGGCAGCCGGCTCAGTGCCGGGCACACAAAGGTCCTGGGAGGCCCTGGCACTGCATCACTGCCTAGCCTCACCCTTCTAAGCCTCCCGGGGCCCCTGTGAGGACAGAATGAGACTGTGTGCCCAGGTGCCTGGCACGTGGTGAAACGAATGCCACCTCAACCAGCCCAGCGATGCACAGCCTCCTGCCGCTCTGCCTTCCTCCGTCCAGGCCTTTGAGGAGCTCCCCTGCCCTCTGCAAGCCCACGTTTCAGCCCAGCAATGCCACAGCCTCTGGGGGTGACCTTGGCAGGCCTCTGCCTTTCCCCATCTGACTGTGCAAGGTTAAATTAGAAGATTCCTAAGGTCTGAACTCTGAACCAAGAAGGGGCAGCTGGTTGTCACTTCCAGTGTTTCCTTTCTCCAAAGACTGAGCTGATGAGTCCCCAGGTGATGGGGAAACTGAGGCCAAGAGCACAGGGCCAGGTTTATTAGCTCTTAGCTTGCCGCCAGTGGGCCTGATGGAGCCAGAAGTGGCAGGCCCAGGGCTGGAACCCGGCCTAGTCAGGGCTGGGGGGATCCAGGGGAACGCAGCCTCCCGGGCAGCCTTCTGCTCCCTCCTACGGGACCACAGTGTCCCTCCAGCTGCCCAGGGCAGAGCTGGAAGGGGGTGGAGTGGGTAGAAGAGAAGCCCCCCGCACCCCTACAACGAGGCTTACCACACAGCCACTGCCACGATCTTCATGACGGACTCATTGAGGCACTGGCAGAAGCTGACCAGGGGGGCCCCGCTGTCACCCATACGGCCCAGCATGATTCCTGCGGGGGGCAGGGACACAGCATATCACAGACGCCGCAGACGGCGGCAGATGTGCATGATGCCTACGTGTGCCAACACGGGCTGGTGGCCAGGCAGGGACAGACCACAGGCACACGCAGATCTCGGCGCTTAGCCGACTGCCCAGCTGCCTCTGACGCCCCAGCGCTTCCCTCGCACCGCCCCTCTCCTCCCCGCTGGAGCAGGCTGTGGCCTCCCCACAGGGCTCTCATCTCTTCCTCCTCCGTCACCCCGCTCTACCCAGCAGCAAGTACCATGTTCTAAAGACAGAAATGCTCCCTGCCAGCACCCCCGACCGGCTTCCCTGCACACACGGCACAACCAGCACTCCCACACCCCCCGCTTCAGGCCCCACTTGATCCGACCCCGTTTACAACTCCCGCCTCCGTCAGGCCCTGCTTTCCCTTCCTCGCTGTGCTCCTGCGTCGCGGCCTTCTTCACGTTTCTAGACTACATCAAGCTCTTGACTGTGGTGGGGCCTTTGCCCGCATGGTACCCGATCCCTGAAGCTCTGGCCTGGCTGGAGACCCACTCCCACTGCCCTGGCAGACTCCTCACCTACTCCCCTCTATTTCACTTCTTTCTGATCCCTTCATATCACTTATTACAACAGTCGTCTGGTGTTTTTTTCTGTCTTCTCCAGTAGAAGGTTAACCCCATGAAGGCAACTCATCATTGGATGGATGAATGAACGTATGAATGAACAAATGAATGAATGATAAAGCCTGTTCCGGAGCCCCTGTTGCCCTCCCCTTGGGGTTCTGGGCTCTCCTTCACTCAGGAAGCTTTCATGTGTGTGCTATTCTGTGGGGTGAGCTCACGCAGGTGAGCATGGGGAGGCCACTCCTGGAACAGTGACAAGTGACTGCTCTCCCTCTGGTGACACAAAACTGGAGAGCAAATCACACCCTGTGACTGCCCTCATGGAGCTTCCTGTCACTGTGTACGAGAGGCTGATCCACTGACTCAGCTGGGGTGGGGCAGGATTTGAACCCTGCTCTGTGGGACTCCAGAGAAGAGCTCTTTCCCTGCCCATGAAGCCGAACCCACACTGTCCGGGGAGCAGCTACCACGGGTGATGCGGAGCGGTGGCACCCTGCCGGGGTGGGTAGGAGGGGCCAGACATGTGGATGACACTGGGCCCAGCCCTGGGCATCTGGCCCATGGAAGCCTGACTGAGCTCAGAGCCAGGTTTTCTGCTGGCTCTGTCCCTTCTCGGCTCTTCCTGTTCCTCATCAGGCTCTCTGGGGCATCCGTGGGCTCCGGCTGGCTAGGTGCTAGTGTGCATGGGACGCAGGGGGTGGCAGTGGGCTTCCTCCGACAGGCAGGGCCAGTGACACCTTAGCATCAGCCACATCCCAGCACCAGGGAGGAAACGGGGAAGGAGGTTGCGGTGAGGGGAGCAGCTGTGCAAATGTGCTCGCTCACGCTCAGATGTGGGCACACAGATGTGGGTGCAGCTACAGCTGGGCACACACAACAAATACACACTGACACGTGGACCGTTGCATGTGCTCAGCAAACAGTGAGTTGAAGGGTCTCAAAGGTTTCTTTAGCTCTGCCAATAGATGTGCTTTTAGTGTGTTCCCACCCCTAAGAGAGAGGCGATGGCTGGGAGGAGGAGGAAAGTCCAGGATTGGGGACAGATTGTCAGATGGACTGAGGATGCTTCCAAACACTGTCTCCTCACACACTTGGGTCTCTGAGGTCCTGGATCCTCTGTGTGCCTGCCTGGCCTTTTGACCACGACGATAAGTGCTCCATTACCCCTTATCATTCATCCATCCATCCATCCATCTACCCGTCTCTCTGGAAGATTTTTTTTTTTTTTGCGGTACGCGGGCCTCTCACTGTTGTGGCCTCTTCCGTTGCGGAGCAACAGGCTCCGGATGCGCAGGCTCAGCGGCCATGGCTCGCGGGCCCAGCCGCTCCGCGGCATGTGGGATCTTCCCGGACTGGGGCACGAACCCGTGTCCGCTGCATCGGCAGGCGGACTCTCAACCACTGCGCCACCGGGGAAGCCCTCTCTGGAAGATTTTACTGAGCACCTGTTCCAGCCAGTCCCGTGGAGGCTATGGGGCTAAATGGAGAAGAAGCCCTGTCTCCGCCTACATGGAGCGTACACAGCTGCCGTGCAGCCGTTAAACAGTCACACAAACAATTACATAACTGCACTGGGTCAAACATGTGAGTAACACAGCGCACCTGACTGGGGGGCCAGGTAGACTTTCCCCAGGACGGGATGCTTATGCAGAGGCCCCTCAAGGATGAGAAAGGTGCAGGGGAGAGGGAGGGGCGGGAACAGCCAGGCTGAGGGAGGTGGGAAGGGCCCGGGAGGCGCCTTCCAGGAAGCGGCGGGCAGCGCGGCGGGGGGAAGAGAGCAGGACGAGAGGGGGCAGCCTGGCCGGAGCTTGCAGGCTGTGCGGGCCGCGCGCGGTGTTTGGACCCCTCTTGGAGTACAGTGGAGCCAGTGGAGGCTTTACGTGGAGACTCAGTGACCCCGTGAGGAGGACACACCGGGACACGGAATTCTTGAGGCGGCATTTGCAGAGACCAGGTAAGAGATGACGACGGCCTTGGCTGGGGCAGTGCGCCGAAGGTAAATGCACAGACCGCAGAGAGAGTTCGGGGGCAGGCCTGACCGGATGTGCGTGTGGGCTGAGGCAGAAGGCGGGGTGGCAAGTGACCCCCAGGTTCCTTGGCTGAGAATCCAGGAGGATGGGGAGGCCTTCCACTGAGAAGAAAGCCCTGCAGAGGAGTCGGAAGCCAGAGAGGCCCTCCCAGGTCTGGGGCTGGGGCGACGGGGCGCTGATGTGATTTTATAGTGAGACTCGTGATGACCCCTGGGCTGGCCTAAAAGGACGAGGACAAGCTAGATTGCTGTGGAGGGGTTAGGACTTCCTAGGCTCCAAAGGAGGGAGAAGGTTGTATGCGTACGTTGGTGGGGGTGGCCATGGGCGCACAGGCAGGGGCGTATCCAGAGGTTTTGTGGGATCTGAAGCTTACACAGTCTGTGGACCTCTTCAAGAAAAAGAATACAAAGTTAAAAAAAGGAAAAAAGGTACAGGCCCCAAAAGGGGCCTGTGCAAGTTAAGCGTTACCAGCTTTCTGGTAAGTAGCCTGTGGTGGGCCTTGGGGACCCAGAGAAGAGTAACAAAGGGAAGGGTGTGGTCAGGCGGCCCCAAGAAATGGCACAGACAGGTCTGCAGAGAGAAGGCCCCGTGGTTGAGGGCGGAGGGGAGGAATGAGGGCTCTAAATAAACAGCCGCTGGGACGGGCCTAGAGGCATGCTCTTCTCATAGGGAGGGCCGACACCGCTGGAGGTAAACAGCACCCAGGGATGGGGAATTCCGAGTGAGGAACATCAGCTCCGGCTGAGGATACCTCCTGCCCCCCCCCAATGGAACGGGGACATGAGCCACTCCCTTGGAAAGGAAAGGAAGGAGCCACCTGGAAGATGGGGAGACTCCAGGCTATTCAGGTTACTGGACGCAGGGATGCAGGGAGGGATAAATGCAAGGAGGGCAGGCTCCACGGCACGCCGGGGCGGGTGGGCAGCACATACCCATGGTGGCAGAGAAGATGACGATGCCCAGCACGTTCATGCCGTCGCTGGTGCCAGGCTCCGACTTGTAAATGACCTCGGGCGGGGGGGTCAGGTCCAGGGCGAAGTTCTGCACACGAGAGCCATTCTCCTCCTGGACCCCATAGATAAGGATCCGCCGAGGAGGGGCCCCCTCCGGTGCCACCTTGGGGGACTTCACAACGGGGGTGGTCTTGGTGCGGTACTGTTGGGCGACATCCCAACCCGGAATGAGTCCAAGTGTTGTTACTAATATCAACAACAACAATGATAATAACATCTTGGAAGCACATTTGCATCCACTCATGAACTATTTGATTGACAATAACCCTGTGACACAGGCAGGACAGGGATTATTCTCAATTATTATCAATATTTTACCAAAAATAAAACTGAGGTTCCTTTATCCATCCATACACTACCCAGCCACACCTCCCTCCATCCTGCCTTCTCTCTTCTTTCTATGCCTCATTACACCCACCTGGGACCCTCTCTAATCATCCATCCATCTCCTACCTGGGTAATCTACTTGGATAATCCTCCTTTCACCTGTTTATCCCCTTTCAACCATCCATTATCCATCCATAACAGCCAGCCAGCCCTGCCTTCCACTGATGGAAACTTGGATTTTCTATTTGAAAAGCTCAGCTTGTCCCGAGCTTTCTTGACGAGATGAGGCCCCAGCTGGGAAGAGTTGAGTGGCTGAGTCACCTACCTTTCCTCCTCAGCCCTCAGGGCATTCCTGAGTCTTTTCCTCTCATTCCTCAGGTACTAGGAGTCCACATAAGGGCTCCTATCCTCCCAACACCACAGTATCAATAAAGCAAGTCTTCTAGTGGGGGAAAAAGGGAACCACTCAGGATCTGTGCTTCCATTCCCTCATCTGTAAAATGGGGTCTTAATAGTTAATCTACCTCGTTAGGTTAAATGAGACAATATATGTGAAGTGTTGACAGCAGGGCGTGGCACATGGTAAGCCTTCTGTAACCATTACTGCTATTATCACCACCACCACCATCACCATCGTAATCAACATCCCAACATTGAACACTCTGTGCTGGGTGCTGGGCCTTGAAGGATGGGTAGGAGTTTGCCAAAAGATAAAGGGCATTCCAGGCAGGGAAGTGAAGTAGAGCAATATTCTCTCTTTCTCTCTCACATCTTCAATAATTCCCCGTCACTGTTGGAATAATATCTAAACTCCCTAGCCTAGCATTCAGGGACCTTCACTACCTGGCTCATCTCACAGATGAAGACCCAGGAGGTTAGGAAAGATACAGTGATTAGCTCAGGGTTTCACAGCTCCTTATTTCAGAGCCTCTTCCACAACCCTCAGCCACCTCCTCTGTGTCTCCAGGCCCAATACAGGGCCCCAGCACAGGGAAGAAGATAGGAAGCGCTTGTTGGACTGAGTCAACCAACCGGCTGACATTTTAGAAGAGGAAAAGAATGGGAAATTATTAGAAGTGCAGACAAAGATTGGTGTACAAGGTTGTTGACCATAATTTCTTGTTTTGGAAAACAACTGAAAGGGGAAATGGGCAAATAAATTATAGCCAGCCTTATAAGAGCCAAACAGTTGCATCATCACTAAATATTGTATTTTTAAGAAACATTTAATAACCATGGAAAGTACCCATGATATAACGGGAGTGGGGGAAAAAAAAGCAAGATGCATACCATATATGTCCTATGATCCTAATTTTATTTTTAAAAACATTTCTGCAGAGAAAAACAGACTAGAAACATACCTTCTACTATCGCTATTGCTAGGTGCTGGAACTACAGGTGGCTTTTATCCTCTGCTTTATATTTTTTAGTATTTTCCTAATATTTTACAGTGAATGTTATTACTGTTTTTATTAGGGGGAAAGGATTATTCTAAAAAGAAAGAGGAAACAGGCTTAGACGCAGACAGGTCTGGGTTCACCTACTAGCTCTGCCATTTACTAGTGATATAACCTTGGGCAAATCCTTTAACCCTCCTGAGCCTCGGATTCCTCGTCCAGGAGAGGGGCTGGCCCTACCCCAGGGAAGGGTTGTTTTGAGGACTGAAGGGGATGGTGTGTGTGAGCATGGGTGTAAACGAGGGCAGAGCAGGCATTCAGCAGGGGCTTCCCTCCACCCTCATAATTCTTCTTCGTGAAAAGTTGGAACCCAGGGCAGGAGTGTGGCCCCGGGAGACTCTAAGGATCCAGGTCCTCCCACCACCTCTCCCTAGCGTCCCAAGCCCAGAGACAGGGAGACTGGCTGGGCAAGCCTGTCATTCCTTAGCCGGGCCCAGGCTGGCCCTGCCTGCCCACCTCTCCATCGTCCGGGGACCCACTCACCTGTTTGAATGTGGCTTCCACCAGGTTGGCTGGGAACATGTTCCTGGGAAGAGAGTCAGTAATTGAAGAATTCCAGGATAGGAGGGCCCTTGGGGTCATCTGAACACTTCCCTTGGCAGTGAAGGACTTCTATGATCCTGCCCCACCTCCCTATGCAGTCTTACTTCTTCCCACCACCCCCATCCCAGGACTTAAGGCTCCAACACCATCTGCATAAGGTTCCCAAAACACGCTGCATACTTCTCCAGCTCCAGGCCTTTGACCACTGTTCCTTCTGCCCAAAATGCACTGCCTACTTCTCTAGCTGATTTCTACTCCAATCAAGCAGAGGCCAAGCCTTCTATGACTGCTCCAGGTGGACTCCACAGCCCTTGCCCTGTGGGTCAGCTATGCTCCAGCACGCTGCTGGATGGCACTAGTCACGTGATTGCTTCCCCCACAGACTGGCTCCCTTGAAGGTGGGACTTGGTCATTCATATCTTATCTGTGGCTCCCAACACAGGACCTGGCACATAAATGGGATCATTATTCTCGTTAATATAATTTTCATAAAGCTAAAGGAGGAGGAAGTTTTGTCCTACCAGATATGAAAGCATACTATAAAGATGTAACTGTCAAAACGGTGAGATACTGACACAGCCGTCAATCGAAAAATCAATGTAATGGAACCTGTAGCCTAGAGACAGAACCTGGGACATTTAAGTATTTCATATTTGATAGAAGTTGCTTCACAAATCAGTGAAGAAAGGAAGGACTCATTCTAGAGAACTGCATAACCAACTATTCAGAAAAATAAAAACTAGATCTTTATGTACACTGCACCAAAATAAATCCCAGATGGCTTAAAGAAATAAATAATTTTAAAAATGAAACCATAAAAATCTAGAAGAAACACAGGTTTTATCAGATCTCAGGATATGGAAGGACACTCTAAGAACAAAATCAATAGATTTTACTTCATTAAAATTAAGAATTTCTTAAGTGTAACTTAGTATCCTGCATTGGATTCTGGAATAGAAAAAAAGAACACTAGTGGAAAAACTGGTGAAATCCAATGAAGCAATTTAGTTAATCGTGTGTACTAATTTCATGTCTTACTTTTGACAAATGTGCTAGATGTAAGTCACTAACATCAGGGGAAGACGGGCACAGCTGGGAACTCTCTTTACCATCTGTGCAACTTTTCTATAAATCTAAAATTATGCCAAAATCAAAAGCTAAAACAATTGAGAAGCTCTCTAAGACAGATTACAATACAAATAAAATAATAAAGCAAATGACAAACTGGGAAAACTATACAACAAAGTGTTATCATCCTAAATCTTTAAAGAGTTTTTACAAATCTTGACCTTGTTTCCATGTTCACTGTCTGTCTTTTCTCACCAGAACATCAGCTCCCTGGAGGGCAGGGATCTCTGTTTTGTTTTCCGCCGTGTCCCCAGCACCTGGAAGAGTGCCCGGCACGTAACAGGCACTCAGTAAATATTTGCTGCATACATAAATGGACCACAGAAACATTAATACCTCAATAGAAAAATGATGGAACTTCCTGACCAGGTTATTCACTTTGCAGAAGAAAAAAAAACATAAGTAGCCAAAAAACCTTTTAAAAAATGTTCAGGGTGGCGCAGTGGTTAAGAATCTGCCTGCCGATGCAGGGGACACGGGTTCGAGCCCTGGGCCGGGAAGATCCCACATGCTGCGGAGCAACTAAGCCCGTGCACCACAGCTACTGAGCCTGCCTAGAGCCCGTGCTCCACTACAAGAGAAGCTACCACAATGAGAAGCCCGCGCACCACAACGAAGAGTAGCCCCCGCTCGCCGCAACCAAAGAAAGCCCGCGCACAGCAATGAAGGCCCAACGCAGCCAAAAAAAACCCTCATTAAAAAAAAATGTTCGGCTTCACTGAAAAAGACATTTTCACCTATCAAACTGTCAAAGAAATTTTCAAATGACAGTACCCACTGCTGAGGATGTTTGGTGACTCCCTCACGTGGTTCTGGCAGCAAACTTTGTGTAAAGCAATTTGCAGTTCACAGCGAGGGTCTTTGCCTTTATAATCTGCTTTAGGAACCTAACTTAAATCAGAGATGCTAACAAGGAGTTTTGCTCCTGTGCTGGCACTTCCTTGAACAGGCCGTGCGCCTCGTGTGCACGTTCCTCCTCTACCTGGACCCTCCGTCCCGCTCACTCTTGCTCTCGGCAAGTCTCTCCTTTTGCGAGACTCAGCTCACACATGCATGGAGTTATACACATGAGTATGAGTGTGCGTTCTTTCTTAACTTTACACCCTGGCAGCCACTGTTGGGAAGCAGAGACTATAATTTTTTTCACTGTTGCTAAAATACAGGTTCAGGGTTAGCATATGGCAGGAGAAAGAGGGCTTGGAATGAGCTACCATGGCAGAAAACTGGTAGAGAATGGTCTTGGCTTTCCCCACTGATTTCAGCTTTGTCACAAGGGAGAGAAGAAGCAGGGTCGGGAGCTGAGATCACAGAAGCTCACATGAGGCTGTATTTTGATGAGTGGTAAGCAGATTTCTGCCACCAGAATAACAGCTGCCTGCAAGGGCTCTGGACAGCAAACAGAGCCAAAGTCACGCCAGGCACACAGCCTGCCGGAGCGCATGACCTACCAGCCCTGGGCGCTCCTGACCAGAATGGAGGAGGCCCACACTGCATCACGTGGTAACAGCTTGAAGATGTCTCCTGGGTACACTTCCAGTAGGTTCGAGTGACAAAGTGGTTAGAGGGAAGGCTGCTTTAGCATGAGCAGAAACCAAGGGCGTTCAAAAGGCCGTATGTAAGAAACCGAATGGAACTTATACCTCATACATACATCTCTCTACAACTTCCTTTAAAATGACAATAATTTAAATTATGTGCTGCAGCACGGTTGACTAGTTGTCTGCCCAGTCTCCATGCTGTCTCCTTACTCACTAACAGAAACCCAGGCATGTTACAGGGACCAAGAAGGCCCTGACATCAAGCCCTGTTTCCCAGCCTCTCTTGCCAAAGGGGTGGCCAATGTGATGTAAGTGGGAGTCATTGGGTGGCATTTCCTGGAAAAAGCTTTAAAAGATGCCCATGCAGCCAGGACCCTTTGGTCCTTTCCTCCAGCTCTTTTCTTTCTGCCCGGAACATGGACATAATCGCTGGAGCTTCAGCAACCTTACTGAACCATGAGACACACTGATGATAAAAACCAAGCGCTTAATAAGTCCAGCAAAGCACCAAGGTGGAGGGAGCACGGACTCCTGATGACCACGAGCTGCCACCTCTGGTCTGCTTATTTTGGGGAGAAAGTGCAGGCCTTTACCTTACTTGAGCCTCTGCTGCTTCAGGTTTCTGTTAAGTAGCAGCCCAAAGCATTTCCTAATACATGTGGTCATACTAATTCTCAATGAACTTACCCTCAGATTTTAATAAAGAAGTATACCTTCGATTATTAAATGAAAAAATATGCACCATTTTCTTTTGGCTTTGAAGACCCATGGGAAGCCTTCCTGTGTGCCCCATGAGGCCTGTGTTCCCGGTGGTGGTTACGTAAAATACAGACATAATGTGCCTGGGAGACATTGGCAGCCAAGCCCATCAAGTATACACACACTCTGCCCTGGGCCTCCCCACACATCTCTTGGGGCAAGGCCACAGTCCACCTCACTTACTATTTGTAAGTTCCCACTGTGACGTTTCCAAACTCACCCCCATCCCCAATCCAAGCTCTAAAGGTGGGAATTATTCCTTTCCAAGCACAGCTCCCAAGAGCTTCATCCAATCCCTGAGCGGGTAACTGGGAGCTATAAATAGACCCAAGTCATTACTTAATCTCTCTGGTGTTTTTGAAAGATTGGAAAACAAAGAAGGGGCCCAGCTCTGACTGGTGTTCTGCTTGGGTTTGTTCTGTGAGGCTGCTCTGTGAGCAGACGTCAGTTTTCTGGAACCCCTGCTTGGAGCCCTGGGAAATGAACTCATGCCTTGGAGAGTCATCCAGGGACATGGCCTATCGTGTTCCTCAGGACCATCTTTGAGAGACGGACGCGTATCTTCCCTCCCTGAAGGATGCAGTGGGCCTTATTTTGCTGTTCGGTTGGACCCCTCATCTTTCTGACTTTTCCTTAGGCACACCTGCCTCCATTTCCCAGTTCCCTGCCCTGGTCCTCTGTGTTCTTGGTTGGTAGGCAACTGCTCTGGGCCAGAGCAAGGGTGATGGGGCCGCTGGTACCCTCATCGCTGGTGTCCTCATTTTCTGCACGGCCTCTCAGAATGTCAGAGCTAGAAAGGGTTGCAGAGAGTAGCTGTCCAGGGCACTCTTCTGGTCTGTCTGTCCTAAGGTGGCTGTCAGCTGGATGCAGGGACCTGCATTTCCCCCCTCTCCCTCCCCACCGGCTCTCAGCACAATGTCTTTGCCCTGAGCAGTTACTTAATAAAAGTGGGCAGAATGGAACGAAAGTGACTGCACCCGCTCCCAGGGTGTCCCCATGCCTCCAGGCACATCCTGCCCACTCCACGCTACCCTGCTCCAATCCATCCTTCCCAAACTCACCTCCGGCCTCCCCCTTCTCGAGTGGAAGAGCCACCCCCTCACCTGGGATCAAGGTCTGCAAGGTTGAGCTCTGCACCGTCCTTCCAACCTCGTCCCGGAACCAACCCACCTCCAGAACCTTCTGCTCGTGCCCAGAAGCCTCCTCACTGGCCTCTAGGCCTTTGTGTTTCGGAACCACAGAGCTAGAAGGGATCTTGAAACCGACGGGGGAAACAGGCCACGGGAGGGGGCTGGTCTGCCTGCAGCCACACAGCGACCACACAGAGGTGAGACGAGCTTCCCTGCAGGAAGCATGTGATCTCCCCTGCAGCTCTGCTCTCTGACTAAGAAATGGTGTCAGCGATGTCCAACCACCCAGCTTTGCAAAACAACTTGCTCAGGGTTGAGAGCGACTGGGGGAAAAACCTCAAACCAGAAGGATAGATTTTCACCACGTGAAAAGCAACTGAGAGCAGGAACTCCTCCTGGAACATTTGACTCTGACATGTGGGTCGGATCCAGAGCCCTCAGCCCCCAAGCAGGGGAGGCCATTGGGGAGGGCGGGGCTCCCCAAGCGCCAACAATCCTTCCACCACAAGGAAAGGCTGTTTCAAATCATAGGATCCAAGAAATGATGAATCATAGTCACCAAATCTCAGAAATAGTGCGTCTTAGACATGAAGCTTCTCAAAATTCCTCCTCCCTTGGCTTCCAGGCTGTCGGCTTTCCTGGTTCTCCTCCTGCTCCAGCAGCTGGACACAGCCCTCCAGTGCGGCTGGGGCTCAACCTGGCCTCGCGCCTCGTGTGCTCAGCCACTCTCCCTGTGCTGGTGCTTCTTCCTGCAGCTTCAAACCCTGCGGCTTCACTGATGCCCCTGCATCCCACGTATGCAATCAGCAAACACTCAGCACCTCTGCCGTGCTGTTGCTGTTCTAGGCTCCGGAATACAGTGGGGTGATTTTTTATTTTTTTGCGGTATGCGGGCCTCTCACTGCTGTGGCCTCTCCCGTTGCGGAGCACAGGCTCCGGACGCGCAGGATCAGCAGCCATGGCTCACGGGCCCAGCCGCTCCGCGGCATGTGGGATCTTCCCAGACTGGGGCACGAACCCACATCCCCTGCATTGGCAGGTGGACTCTCAACCACTGCGCCACCAGGGAAGCCCATAGTGGGGTGATTTTTAACTGGCCCTCCCAGAGCATATTTTATTCCAGTGGGGGAGACAGAGAAAGAAATACAGAAATACACAGAGAGGGTAGGGTCAGGTAGTAATCCAAGCTATGAGGAGAGAGGCTGACGGGAGGCCCCTCTGAAGAGGTGACACGGCAGCGGTGTCAATGGAGGGAGGGAAGGGCCATCCAGGCAGAGGCAGCGAGGAAGACCAAGCTCCCAGACGGGACCCTAAGCACGTTTGGAGGTGTGCACAGAGGCCAGCAGGCTGGAGTGACGGGAGGGAGAGTTGGAGCAAAGGTCAGAGGCCAACCTGTGCATGGTGGGGGGATCATGACGGGCCTGTAGGCCATAGTGAGCATTGTGGATTTTGTCGACCTGTGACAGGTTGCGGGCAGGTTTTTAAAGGATCCCTCTGGCTGTTGTGCTGAGAACAGGCTGTAGGGAAACAGAGAGAAAGCAGGTGACCATACAGGACCCTCGAGTGAGAGGCGATGGTGGTCTGTGCGATGGTGGGAGTGGCAGAGGGAGACAGAAGGGGCAAGGTTTAAGATATCATTTTGAAGGTAGAGCTGACAGAATTTGCTGACAAACAATGCAGGATATGAGAGAATAAGAGAGGCATCCGACCAAGATGGGCAGGACTGAGGAAAGGACAGATCTATGGGGAAAATCCAGAGTGTAGCTTTGGATGTGCTAATTTCGAGATGCCTTTAGACAAGTGTATGTAAGAATCTGGAGTGCCGGTGAGAGGTTTCCACTGGAAACAAAACTCAGCAGCGTCAGTGTACAGAAGGTGTACAGCGTCACGGTATTAGATGAGATCACCAGGCAAGTAAGTGTAGATACAACAGACCTTGCCTGGGTCTCTCTGGCTCTTGACCCTGTGGGTGAGAACCACACAACAGGAACAAAACTGCAGGTATTTTTGTGATCTTTGGTTCATCACACATCTCAAAGGATAAACAGAACCTGGAGAATGGAGAAAATGGAGGGAGTGGTAGCTTGATTGCACTGAAGGCCCTCATTCGTGGATGCCTTTGCCTTGTCACATTGCCAACCCTTCCCACCCTGAGTCTGGGCGTGGCCACATGGCTTGCTTTGGCCAATAGGATGTTAGCAGACTTGACAAAAGCAGAGACTTGGAAAAATACTTGTATGTTTCTCTCTGCCTCTCTTGTTCTTCTTCCTTCCTCGTAAGAACATGCTGGCTCTCTCTTGGAACCCTCTCACCACCATGAAATAAATACAGGCTGGTCTACGGGAAGATGAGGGGCCACGTGGAGCCCAGCTGGATTATCTCAGCCAAGATCACCCTGGAGTAGCTGTTCCCAGCAGCCAGCTGCCTGCAGACACATGAGCAAGCTCAGCTAAGCCCAGTCCGAGTCAGCAGAAACCTCCAGCTGAGCTGTAGACTTATGGTTGTTGTCTTGAGGCACTAGGTCTTCAGATGGTTTGTCACACGGCAACAGCTAACTGATGCAGAGGGTGAGGGTTTTTCAAGAGAAAGGGAAAGGGAGAGAGAGAGGTTGTATGCTGAGGACGAGAGGCGTGCTTCTCCCTAACTTTAAGCCAAGAGACCTTGGTGGTGTCCCCTAAGATCTGAGGTATGTAGGGGCTGGTGCCTGACTCACGTCCGAAGGCCTTGGGAAAGGGCTGCGTTTCCAGCAAGGATGTGTGTGTTTTTCACGGGCCAGTGCGGACCTTGCAGAAGGGACACTGCCTTGCAGAAGGGACACTGCCCTGGACATCACCAGGGCAGGGGGCGGGGAGGCGTCCCCAGCAGAGGAGCTGACCAGAGGTCAGGCCTGAGGAGGGTACTGTGAGCAGCCAGATGGCGCAGGGAGCGCCTGAGTCAAGGGAATAACAGGTGAGAGACACCAGTGATAGGAGGGGCCCCAAAGAGCCCGCAAAAGCTCTGCTGAAGGAAAACAACCGGGGAGCAGCTACCCCGGCTCACCCCACTACCAGAAAGGAGGACCTTCCTAGCTCACTCCCTCTCCCTCTTCACTGCGCCACCCCCGGGGCTAGCAGCAGGGGAGTAGGTGCAGCAAGAAAGAGAGCAAAACCTGCTAGGACCTTCTTCCCACGCCAGCTTTCCACGTCTGAATCAGATGCAAAAGGCTAGGACAGGATTCGCTTTAAACTGGATGAGTCTGGAGTTTTACTGTTAGACTGGACTGGGTTTCTTATATCTGAAATTGGTGAGAAAATGGGAGGGACCAGAGGAGCCCCCAGAGCACGTTTACTGGGGCACCCTATTGAGCCCAATAAACTGTTCCCAATGTGGTGCTTCCCCGAGCTCTGTCCCAGCCCTGCTGTCCTCACCCACACTGTCCTGGGAGACCCCTCTGCCATCAGGGCCTCCCTAACACCTCTACCTGCTGCTCTCCCAACCTCCATATCCTGCTCAGACTTCCCCACAGGATTCAGATCCACCAGCCAACCATCAGCTGACGCCTCCCTCAGGAGGTCCGCGCCTGCTCCAGCACTGTCCTCTGGCCCTGTGACCACACTGCTGTCCACTCAGGTGCTCAGGCCAGAGACCTTCATGCATCAGACTCCCACCGCCTCCACCCTTCCCCCCTTCTCACCGTCTCTTGCAGACTGATTTTACCTCCTGAGCAGCCTTCAGTCTTCCCTCTTCCCCCAGGCCCATGGCTGCCAGCCTGGCCCAGTCCCTGCCTCTGTCTTCCCCGCCTGCCATGCGCCCCACCTCCAGTCCACCAGCACTCTGGCGGACAGAGGGAGCCTTCTGAGTTGGAACATGCTACTCCTAGGTTTAAAACCCATTTCGGGGAGCGTTTAGGATAAAATGCAACTTGGGGCCTGATTCCCAATGCTCTTCATGGTCTGGCCCCAACCGACTTCTCCAGCAATGACTGTCCACTCCCCGCTCACATCTCAAGCTCCAGTCACACTGAATGGGCCATAACTTCTCCCCATAATACTACCTCCCAGCTCAGGACCTTTGCACAGCTGTTGCCTTTTCGGGAATGCCCTTCCTGTGTGCCCTGTGCCCTCCCACTCATCCCATCTTGATGGGGGTGGACAGTTCAGTGTGAGCCCAGCAGGAGGCACGGGGGCTGAGGGGGCAGAGTGGCCTCTGTGGCTGCCCCCCTTGTTACCATTAGTGATCAAGGGCAGACCCCGAGCACCTCATCCCCACACCCTCTTCTGCCCCATGGGTGACATGCGGGGCTGGGCCTGTGAGGTCAGCAGCCCCAGCCCAGGCATGGCGTTCCCAAGCAGGGTGCCGGCGGCAGGAGTTACCGAATGAGGTCCAGCAGGGGGTCTGCTGAGCTCATGATGGGCTTCCCACTATGCTCCGTCGTCTCCTTCTGGGCCGCGCTGCCCGGGTGGATGATGGACACCATGACGATGCCCACGATGACTGCCATGAAGGTGGTCCACAGGTAGTACGCTACAGTGAGGATGCCCAGGCGGCTGGAGGTCTTGGCATCCAGGGAGGCGAGGCCGGACATCAAGCTGGGAGAGCGATAGGGGTCAGCGTCTGTGGGTGGGCAGGCCAGGCACTCAGGTGTACCCACTCTCGCCCCCTCCTGGCTCTGCCTAGCACCCTCACAGCCTTCCAGGGAATGTGCAGGCATGGGGATCCCCCCACTAATCCAGTCCCCGAGGCTCCATCCAGCCTCTCTATTCTCTGCTCTGCTCTCTCCCCCTTGCCCAGTGTCATCAGCTGAGCCCGTTCACACCTCTAGACCTTTCCATGTTTGGTGTCCTCTTAGTACCTCCTTTCACTTGCCCAAATCCTACCCAGCAGGTAAGACCAAGCTCGGTGCCTCCTCTTGGGTGAAATCTTTTAGGAGCCCATTCTGGGGGTCCCACAGCTCCCGGCCTCCTCTGTCATGACCCTGGTTGTCACTGTCACTGTCTGTCTCTCTCATCAGACTGAGGACATGTGAGAAGAGGTCATGTCTCTCTGTGGGCCCCTCGTGCCCAGCGCTCTGTCCTGCCACCAAGCAGGTGGTTACTGCAGGCTTTTGAATGAACTAATGAGTGAGAGTAAATGAGTGAGTTAGAGCCCTGGGCTGGGACTTGGTGACCTGGGTCCTAGTCCCAGTTCTGCCCATTGGCTATGTGACCCAGGCAAGCAAGTCACTCCTCCATCTTTAGGCCTCAGGATCTGCATCTAAAAAATGGGGCCATGGTTAGATTTTTCCTTGAGAGGTGCCACCCTGTGGCCGTCTTGGGTTAGTGCCCCGGCCCAGACTCTCCTCTCGCGAGACTGTATGGAGAGGCTTGTGGGTCTCTCTCCTCTTGGCTCCTCCCCGCTCCCCGCCTGCCCTGACCCTGGCTCTCTGCCCACCAGAGCAAGTCAGCCCTGGAGCTATTTTTCTCATGACTGTTTGGCTGGGGATGGGGTATGGGGGCAGGTGGGGAGCGAGAGATTAGCTAAGGAGATGCTTGCACTTTGCTGCCAAAAGGATTTTTCCCCAAAGCCTTTTCATTCTTTCAGATAAAGGAAGTATTTGTCTGGTTTTAATCATGTAAACAAGAGCAGATAATCTCTCCGCATCCACCTCCTCTTATCATTAGGCTACATCTAGCATCAGGGCTGAGCACTTGCCTCTCCTGCACCCCACGGTGACCGCTGCCTGTGAGCACCCTGCTCTTCCCTGCTTGCTGTAGCAAAGCCTCACTCCCCTTTTAAAATGCAGTTAAAGGGTCCCCTCCTCCAGGAAGCCTTCCCTGACCATCAGGCAGGGGTAAGGCCCCTTCTCTGGGCTCCCATGGCCCCTGTGCTGCCCTCTGTCCCAGCCCCACCTCACTGAACTGTTGACTGTTTACTGGAAGCACCACCAGGGCTGGGCCTGGGTCTGATTCAGTGCTGGGTCCACAGAGCCAGAACCAAACTACACTGCTGGAGTGTAGTTTGCTGAATGAAGGAGTGAATGAATGAATGAATGAGTCAATGTTTACAACCTCCATTCATGCCTGTCTGCCAGGACACCATATGTTAGTGATGGGCTTAGGGTGGGTCTTAGATATAAATCCTGAAGGGCTCATAATGAGATTGTGTGGCCAGGAGAAATGGGGGCCACCCTGCAACACCATCCATGAGAGAGAGCATCCCCAGACAGGGGCCAGCACCTCGGCCCAGGGCCAAACAGGCCTCTGACCATAACAGAATTTCCTCACAGCCAAGTCCAACTACTTCAGGCCACAGGGAAGCCATGGCCCTGAGAAGAGGCCCTGCTCGAGGTCACACAGGACACTAGTGGCCAGCTGGACCGAAACTCATTCCCCAGCTCCAGTCCTGTCCTCCTTCATCCATGTAGTTATTCAGTCCTTTAGCACGTGCCCACTCTGTGCCATGCCCTGTGCCCACAGAAAGAAATCAGAAATCAGTCCCTGACCTCAAGTAACTCCTGGTCTGGCTGCTGCGGGGGGTGGGAAGAAGATGGACATGGACACTCGGGACAGAACAGGACTCAGGTAACCAGGGGTCAAGGTGTTTGCATCAATACCACAAGGGAGGGGACAAGGACGTGCTATCTTTATTCAGAGGAGTGAGGGATCACTTGTAGCTAGGAGGATCAGGAAAGGCTACGTGGAGGAAGGGGCACTGGAAGATGAGGCAGATTTGGAGACGGAGCAGACGTGCCAGGCAGTGGGACACCAGAAGATAACAGGGAGGCTGGAAAGTGTGGGGACACTGTGGTGTTTAATGTGGTCAGAGCTCAGGTCATATGTGAGGCAGAGTGAGATATGGGGCAGAAAAGACGGACTGAGCTCAGGAGTAGGAGTGGCCTTGAGCGCCAGGCCAAGGGGCACACAGGGGAGAATTGGGTAACACACAACACATCTAGCAGAATTTGCTGGATGTCTGAGAAGGGAGAACTAAGAAGTCCTTAGATCTGAGAATATCAAAGTAAACAAAGTATATAGGGAGGGTCACTGAAGTGGTATTTGTAAAGCAAAAAGTGGGACCAACTTCAATCATCAAGGCAGATTAGATTAAAAGTTACAGCATATCCATGCAGTGGGCTTCTAAGCAGCCATCAGAAGTGATGGTGTCGTTGGAAAGATGTTCCTATTTTATGTCAAGTGGAGAAAGCAGAGTACAAGATAGTTTGCAGGGTGCCCTGGAGCTCCTGTGACACAGACCCCTCTCGAGTTTGTGGTCCAGATAAACATAGACATGCCTGAGGGACTGTGCAGGAGAGGGGTGCAGATGAAAATCAGATCTCAGAAAGGGGCAAAGGGCTCCTCAGAAGGCCACTCTGAGGAAGAAGAGGTCTAACGTGGGGGTGGTGCAGCTCAGGGATAGAGCGGATGTGGTAAGGAAGGGAGTGCAGGTTCTAGATATAGCAGGAGTGGACCCCGGACACAGGGGCTCTGGAAGGGAGAGGGCTGATGAATAAAATGGAAAGCATTCCATCACCTGGGACACGAGCAGTTCCGCTGTGGAACGTCGCTCCCGCCCGCAGAATGGAAAGGGGTTTTCTACTGGCTGAAGAGAAAGGAGAGCAGCCGAGGTGGGAGCAGTGGGGGAGGAACTGCTTGACAGTATGACAGAGCAGACCCTCCCTCCCCAGGCTGGTGCCGGCAGTGCCAGGGTGACCGCAGGTGATGGCGGAGGCCGAGCAGAACGGGAGCTAAGTGTGGGGAGGGTCTGGATTCCGCGTGAGATGGCGGCCACTCCCGGAACTCACAGCCACAGGAAAGGATGTTCAAGTGACTTCCTTGACAGCCTGCCATTTGGCTGGAGGGGGCTCCTCGAGGTCTAGACTTTTGGGCTAAGCTGTTAAAGTGGCCTTTCTGAGAACCTACAAGCCGGGGTGGTGTGCTCTGCAGGGAGTGTTAGGTCACATGGACATGCATAGGGGAAAAACCAAAGTTTAACAGTAGCTGTCTTTGGGTGGTAGGATGATGGGCAAGTTTTGTTTTGTTTTTAATGTTTTTCCACATTCTCTATTATTTCGAGAATAAGCATGTCTTGCTTGTATGATGAAAAACACAACCCCTCAAGGGCCAGCAGCCACAGAAACCGTAATTCATCTGGAGCTTAACTGTCCCCAAACACCTGAACATCCACCTCATTTGATCCTTAGCGTTCTGTCAGTGCTGCCCAACAGGATGATAATGTGAGCCACTGTAATGTTAAATTTTCTAGTAGTCACAGTAAAAAAAAAAAAGAAAAAAAGTCAAAAGAAACAGGTGAAGTTCATTTTTGGTAAAATTAACTTTAATAACACTTTATTTAACCCAGTTTACCCAAATTATTATCATTTCACTGTGTAATCAACATAAAAATGCTTAGAAAAATGGCTTCTGGTTTAAATTTTTAATTTAATTAAAAACAAAAAGTTCAGTTGCTCCATTGCACTAGCCACATTTCAAGGGTTCAGTAGTCACTTATGACTAGCGACTGCCTTCTTGGGTTGTGCAGTTTGAGTTACAGATAAGGAAAATAAAGCTCAGGGGGCGGAGCTAACTGGCCAAGCTGCCTAGTTGTGAAGTTAAGACTGGAGTAGGGATTCAGCCCTGTGGGGTTTCCTTTCTCCCACAGTGACTCTCCGTGGTACGACCTGGTTTAACTCCTGTGCAAGAAAAGGCCTTCCGGTTTTGGCTAACCATGATTTTAATGTGATTCAGCCCATGTAATGCCTATTTAGTTCAACGCTCGGAGTTCATGACCTGCCCCATGGCTACAGCCCTCAGATTTGTGGTGGTGAGCTCCCCATCTTTGGAGGTATCCAAATGGAGGCTGGGTGGCCACCTGTTGGAAGGTTAGATCAAGGCTTCCAGGCTGAGTGGGAGATTCCATGAGGATGACTTCAAATGCTCCTTCAGGCTCTGTGATTTACGGTGAGGGGAGAATAGGTAACCTTGCCTCTGCGACTCCCACGATGGCCGGGTGCTCCTGGGAGTCCCCCACATCCTCGAGGGACCTGGCAAAGCGCCTCAGGAAGCCCAGAAATCTAGGACTCCCTCCGAAGCCATCTGGCCACACACCCCGCCCTGCCCCCAGGGCCCGGGATTATGGTTCAAGAGCTTGATGTGACTGGGGAGCCGGCTGGTTCCTGGGCCCAGCCTGTTTCCATCTGGTAACCCCTCCACTTGCAGGGGGCGGGGAATGGAGGGAGAAAAAGGCCACTACTGACCCTCACCTGTTCTCACGCCAACCCCTGAGGTGGGTATGGTGACCCCATATAACACCGGGAGGCACCCACCGCTGCCTGCACACTTCACTGCGGAGGGCGGACAGGCTGCTGAGACTGCTGGGGGCCCCTCGCTGTTTGAAGTCTTGGTGGCTCCCCTTCGCCCTCAGGAACTGTCCACACTCCTCCAAGGCCTTGGGCCACTCTCCTCCTCCTCACTGGCACCTCTCCAGCCGCCCCGTTCTCCCTGCTGCTCCTTGCACCATCTTTGTGCTGGTTGTTCCTTTAGCCTGGTACTCTCCACCCACACCCCCCAAGCCCTCACATACCTGCCCAGCCCAACCAATTTCCACTTGCCCT